ACCTTTATCCTAAGCAAGAAGGTGCATACAGATGTTGAATGATGTAGCTTTGACACTTGATCTCCTCCCTTCAATAACGTTTTTGGATCTTGAACTTGATAGCATCATGACCATGGAAATGGTTAAGATTTTACAATGGACTCCACGAAATTAGTCAATTGCAAATACATGATCTAACACTTGTTTCTTTTTAACCTTTTAGTTTCTTTCTATTAACTTGACAACAACATAGCAATTCAATTTAGTTTATACTTCGATTCAACTTATAGAACTTGATTATATGATAATCTAATCAAACTAGGCATGTTTAGTACGACTCACGTGCCTCTAGAAACAAAGAGAGAGTGAGGGAGGGAGTGAGAGAGAGAGAGTATAATGGAGAAATTTGAAGACCCTAGGTCAATAAGGTGTAATATCCAAAAAGAGGTAATTCACTTTCAGTTGTCAACAATTCTTTAGAGATATAAATAGAAATCTTGAGAGAATGTACAAATTGTTTATAATACATGAGTACTAATGTGAAGGGAAGCATAATTCGGACCTTTCAATTCATAGATGTAGATCTCGGACCTAAGCCAGGCTTGGGCAGAATAGTAGAGCAAGTACAAGTATTACTAACATAACAAAAATGTGTTCCTCATCATTAATATGTTTGCTTGTGGCAATTGTGACCTCTCGGGAGAATTGATGGTGTTGTGGGCCCTTAACTTTCATTACATCGATGTGAATTACCTTGGGAAATCGCAATAGAGCTTTTCCAAACATTTGTCATTCGCGGTCTAATTAGACAACATCTTGCTTCGAATATAGGAATTGCTAAGAGTAAAATTTGGGAATGAATTAATCAAATTGGATTCGAATAGGGATACAAAAGGATGGTATGTTTTTGCACACCTAGTTCGACCCTCCTTTCTGAATCAACTCATTTTTTATAAATCTCATTTTTTGTAGAGTGTTCTATATCGATAAAATATTGATTTTGAAACCACTCTATATTAACAGAGTGGTAGAAAGAGTACCATGTTGCATCTGGACTTCAAACGGTTTAGTTTTAACTATGTTAAAAGTCCCACATTATTGGTTGATAGAGAATCAAAGTAGATTTACCAATGAATTACTAGAGATCTGATAGAATTTGTAGTATATAAACCGGTTCTACTAGTACCTTCAAGGATGCTGAAGGGGCACAAATTGACTGTGCATGAGTAGGCCATATAATGATTCCAATTGACACAAACACATGTCATAAGACAAGTGGCAAAAAGGTATTAAGGAATAGATTGCCTTGGCTAAGCCAGCAATTCAGTTAATCAAGCATTGGGCCGACCTACCTGACAAATCTAAGACAAACTAGTTATTTGGTTGTTCAGTCAACAAAGATACCAAGTAACCGGTCAAGCCAATTGGGAATGACCATATGAGGTCATATCGATTGGAGGGACCGGATTGTATGAGCTTGAAACATTGGAAGAAAAGTCAATTCCACGACCATGGAATGCTGAAAACCTCCAAAAATACTACTGTTGAAGTGTGATGCCTCAAAATCCGGGGGTCCGTTGATTACCCATCAACCCGCAGAATACTCATGGATACCGAATAATTCGATATCGCACCATTATGCCCCATTTATCGGGAACCATAATTTTTACGAAATTCGGGGCAGAGTCTCATTTGTACGGGAAGCTCTACTTAAAACGCAACCTGTACAATCATTTAATAACAAGACACATCCAAGTTTCAATAATAAGTAAACATTGGCCACACCAGGTTCAATTATCCATATTTATATCAAAACATGCAAGGTTAGTTTAACAATAGTCTATATAAGTTTTATTACAATTATTTGCAAAAGATTACATGTCCAAAACTTTATTTCCACAAATGTTTTACATTAACACAAAATAAAGCCACATTCGGCTTTCTTCAAACATGAGGGTCCAAATTGGAGCCATCCACCGGTGTATCTTTCTCACCTGAAATATTTTTCCGTATAGGGTGAGCCAATGCCTAGTAGAATAATTTCTACAGAGGCTACTCCCCACCTTAGATGCATATGTGGTGTGTATAAGCAACAAACAACATATAACAATCATTCCAGACAAGAATATGCATTAACTGTTGCATGCAACCATGTCATGCCATGAAATGAGATGATACTCACTCATGCACTTAAACCCAAGTCATCATCGACTCTCACGACACAATGCAATGCCAAGGTATACTGAATCCGTCAATTGACGAAAAAAATCCACTAAATGATCGTTTGAAATAAAAGTTGTTTTATTATATAATCAAATCATTGATGGGTGTTACTCATTATATGAGTACTTTATAAATTAAAATTTTGTGTCTTGTTGGGCAACGGATTTTGGATTTTATACCGCCGGTTCCGTACATCATACTGTACTTTTTCAGAATTTCACCACAGGGGAGTGTATAACCAAGTCGCCGGGTCTTGCACCCGAGGGGGGAATCTACCCCTTCTTGCTATACCCGATACAATTTTTTCTTTCATGCAACCATACGACTCATTTGGATTTTCAACCCAACTTTCTCGAGTCCACGCATCAATCACCAAGAATGGTGGTTGATTAACCATGCATACACACACCCACACTCATGACTCATGCCCATGAATGTGATGTCAATTCCATGTCCATATTGCAATGCATGTCAAATGAACAATTTCTACATATCAATGTTCACCATGACGATTTATATCATATGCAAATAATCTCCAAAATTTCATCACCATGTCAAAACATCAACTAGCATGTGTCAACATTTACATTCAACACAATTGACAAGCATGTTATTACATAATCTATGCCAAAAACACACTTAATTTAAAAGACAAAATATAGCACATAACAGCCCACAAAAAAAATCAATCCATAGTGGCCCAAAATTTAGCCACTAAATAGCCCACAAATCAAGCACTAAACTGTCCCTTAAACAGTCCCTAAACGGCTATAAAAAAATCCCAATAAACAGCCATAAGATAGCCCATAAAATAGCCATAAACAGCCCCTTAAAACAACCATAAAACAGCCCATAAATCAACCACTAAGCAGCCCACAATTCCGCCATTATGCAGCCCCTTAAACAGTCCATAAATGGACACTAGACAGCCCACAAATCAGCCACAAACCAGTCATATTTCAGCCACAAAAATGATCCCTTAAGATAGGAGTAAAACCTAAGTAGGAAGAACCCTACCTCTTGTAGCGTGTAAGAAGTAGTAGAACTTCTAAAAACACTAAAACAAGCCCAAGAACCTTTGATTTCTCCAAAAAAATTTCTTTGGACCTTCGGTGAAATCTAATTTTCTTGGTACGTACACGTAGCCCTCGTCGAGGAGATAAACTGTGATTTTTGGCTCAACGAATTTCGACCGACGGAACTTCGGAAATCTTGGATTGAAGCTTGAAGAACTTACTTGTTTTCTCTTTTTTCACTCTCTTCTCTCTATGGCCGGCCAAGGGTCAAGAACAATGAGATATTATTTCCAAAATATCTAATTTAAATAGATATTTATAGTCCCGAATGTGTGGTCCATATCGCACCGCATATTTCTGACTTTCGGGTCCATTTTTCATTCCGAAACGATTCATTATACCTCGGATTTAGTTCAAATTAATTTTATTGGAACTTTAACTTAATTTTAATAAAATTTTAAAAGATTCATTTTTGGGAACCTTTAAAATGTCATTCGCCTTGCTCGCAGTTGCCTCGAACGACGTGCAAAAATTCTACTATCTTAGAATTCAACGAAATTTGACAGGATGACCAGATTTTGTGATACAAATCTAACGGCGAACTCCGTTTCCTCATCCGAGGTCTAGAACATGAGTATTTTAAATACGCATTAGGATGACAAATTACCATTTTGCTCTTTCTAAGAAAAAGTTCAAATTTTTCCGGATTTCACATGAAGTGCTTCTAGAAATAGGAAAAGATTGAAGTACATTCAATCATTAGACTAGAGTACCTCTAGCAAAATTGTAATTGACTTAAAGTCATGTAGTTTTAAGTTTGGAAAATTTTAAAGTACTCGTTTCAATGAATAAGAATTCCATTGCAAAGTACCTTTATGAACTTGCTTCAAAATTATACAATGAGCATTTGCCACAACAAAGGAAAAAGTCCAAGAATGAAATTATGGGCAAAAGATCAAGGAAGACCTAGACAAGATTCAACCTACTACCAAGGCAAGGAAGAAAACATTCCTAACAAGGACAGTGACCTAGCTTAGGTGCAACCACCCAGTCAAACTTAGACCCAAGGCTAAGCATGACAGTGTAAGCCGAGGGATAAGATTTTAGACCAATTGTTTCAACAGGTCAGTACAACGGTTGCAATAAACAAGGCATGAGCCCTTCATTGAGGCCGGTCCTCTTTTCTAGGGGAAGGGAGCATTACTAAAAAAAATTCTAAATATCAAGAGGCCCTAGTCCTTCATTGAGATCAACCCTCTTTGCTAGGGGAAGGGGGCATTACTCGAAAAATTCTTCTATAAGAAAAGATCATATCCCTTCATTGAGGCCAAGCCTCTTTGCTAGGGGAAAGAGGCATTACTCAAAAAAAATTCTAAGCATCAAGATGTTGTAACCTTCATTGAGGTTGAATATCCTTGTTAGGTAAAGTGGGCCCTAACCCTTTATTGAGGCCGAGCTTCTTTGCCAAGGGAAGGGAGCATTACTAGAAAATTTGTCTAAGTATCTAAGAGGCCCTAGCCCTTTTTTGAAACCAAGCCTCTTTGTTAGGGGAAAAGGGGGCATCACTCAAAAACTTTTCTAAGTATCAAAGAGGCTCAAACACTTTATTGATGTCAAGCCTCCTTGCTACAAGAGGAGGGCGTAATTCAAAAGACACGCCCGAGTTTTGAACCTCTCTCAAAAGGGTGGGGGAGAACAAAGAAATTTCATATAAACAAAATTATTTAATTTATGATCAAAAGAGGGTTTATTGTAAAAAATAAATAAATAAAAGTGCATATTTTAAGGGAGATTGGTTGTCAGAATCGTAGTAGAAGAAGAAGTACACCAAGCATCATGACGAGAAAAGAGCTTAGAGGATAAGGGAACACTGGAGGCATGAACCGACGTTCTCCATCCCATCTTCATCATCTTCCCTAGCTCTGGATTTGGCTTGAAGGCCTTAAATTCTTCAAGGAGAGTAGCATGTTCCCCTTCAAGGAGAGTAGCATGTTCCCCTTGGGTTTAGAAGAGCTCGTGGGAAACTACTGCCTTTGAAGACTTCAAATAATCATTCAAAGATTTCAGATGCTCTCTTTGCTCCTCAAGCTTGATTATTTAGCCCTAGAAAACGAGCACCTCTTCACAAAGCTTACAGACTTTGGCATATAGGGTCTCATTTTTCTCTAGGGCAACCAAGCGATCATAAATGGCCTTGTCCTTCCTCATGGTCCTCGCCTCTGCCTCATAGACTTGCTGCTGGCTAATATATGGCCTTGATTCCCCTGGTATTAAGAACAATATATCTCAATTTCATAAAATTTAGGACAAAAATTGCTATCTCATTTGAACCAATAAAATTTGTAATAATCACATATTCCATAAATAAAATCTAACATATAATTTGACCTTGAATAATGTTTATATAATTTCTTAATACATCATGAGACCCATAAAATCTTAATTATTTAATCTAGTTCGAGTCAACACTCGATCATCATAATCCACCCACCTTAAAAAAAAAAAATTCTCCTCAAAATTTACAAGTGATAAATCACATACTAACTTCAACCGTGCAGTTCAATATAATTTTATGCACCTAAAATTAGCTCGTCTATTACCCTCAGGTCATCATCCTAAGTAATTAAACTAAGACAATCTACAAAATCTCTAACCTATGCTTTGATATAAAACTATGACGCTCCGATATCTCAAAGACATTATTTAATACAAATACACCGGAATAAAAATAACAAAACACTAATTATCCTAATAAAATTAAAATTATCAATATAATCTCTAAATATAAATACATCTTTCAAATTCACTATCACAAAATTATATCGAAACAAGCTCATCTTTAACTTTTCCAAATATCTCAACCCGAACTTTTCCCTATGGTCAACTTGAAAAATGTTAAATAAAGCGGAAAAATATACAATATGATGAGGAATAATATGCTCAAGGATATTAAATACCGAATAAATTAAATATCACAAAGTATCTCAATCAGCAGATATACATATTATATTCACACATCACACATCATGCGAGATCTAAACGCGGATCTGACACCTTACTAATCATCCTACCTTAACCCAATCCCCCGGGTCTATTGGCTGGCAATACATCGGATTATTGGTTACCACGATCCTGTCTCAATCCACACAAAACACGATCAATGAGATTAATATATTCAACTATATTAAAACGAAATTCCAAGAATAATGATATCACAAGATGGAATACAAATCAAATGATAATTAAGAAAATACTGTTTGCAAAGAGCATATAAAAAGAGCATATTATATACAACCCCGTACCTCAAATCACCAAGGGATTCTGATAAATTTGATTCCCACTGTATTAAAAACAATATATCCTAATTTCATAAAATTTAGAATTAAATTACTATCTCATTTTGAACTTGATAAAATTTGTAATAATCAAATGTTCCATAATTAAAATATAACGTATAATTTGACCTCGAGTAACGTTCGTATAATTTCTTAAAACATCATGAGACTTATAAAATCTTAATTATTTAATCTAGTTTGAGTCAAAACTCCACCGTCACAAAATGTTCTTAATAGTGCATATATTTCCAAGTGATTGTTATTAGGCTAAACTCGACAATTTAATTTTTCAATTGTTTTTATTTTGTTCATTCTATAAATTTTCAAGGGACTTTTCTGAATGAGTTTTGACTGTTCTCTTTCTTACAAATTGAGGTGGCAACTAATGATGATGTTCATAATAGGGTCCTCTAAAGCATTACGTGTATATGAGATTTTGCGAAATTGAGGTTTCTTTTGTGTTATTGTTTAACTTTCTGTTGAAAGGCACCCTTAAATAATTATTGTCGTAACTACCTGTTTTTTAGCAAGAAAATTCAGGTCTGGGAAGAATTGAGTAGCTACAATAGTTTGCAGAACATTTTATGGTATCATAGTTAGTTTAACATACGTTCATGTTGAGAAAAAATGAGGTGGAAAGCGTATGCAATAGAGTAAAAGACACTTGAATTAATCCGTATGTTCTTTTGCCACGGTTGAAAATATGGGAACACTATGTATATTAGATCGGAGAGTGTTCTCATGTATAATTTTCTAAGTGAAGTATTACATTATTTCGGTTGATTTTCTGTTTATTTTGTCTTTGTATAGTACTGCTAAAATCTTGTCAGAGTTGTCTTCTTTTAGTCTCGAGTTTGAATTGAGTTCCATGTGTGTTATGTCTAATGCTCCTTTTCATCCATCTTCTAATTGCGTTTTTGTGCATTCTGGGAGTGAAGAACACTACCGTCTAGGAAGTGACAAAAGAAAGAGGATGCTGCAAATGGAAGAGAAAGGAATGAAGAAGTGGAGGTTTTGAATACGGGGATGGGGAAACAGCTGAAAGGAAGTGATTGTACCATTTTTTATTTCTTGATGCATTGTTTGACTTAGTGTGAAGAATTATTCTCTCATTTTTGCTTTGATGCAACTTGGACTATTGCAATATTTTTGTGTTACAAACTGCATGAGTTGATGTGACTTAAGACTTATTTTTGAACAAAGATGTGACTTAAGACTATTGCAATATTTTTTTGTTAGACGAGGAGGGCTTATGTCCCACACGTGGGGTAGGGGAGAGAGAGACCAATGCAAATGCAAAATTGAGCCAATGGAAAGGACTATTCGGTTCAATTTGCCACTTATTATTACAATTCAGTAATCGAAAACATGAAGAAAGAAACTAGAGCCAACACGATGATCCGAATAAAGCCCCAAATTAAATCAGTTAACCACACTGCATCTTCTTCTTATCTCTCCATTTGTTCCAGTAAGGGGGCTTATATTGCCCATTCTTACCATGGCAGCAGCAAAGTCATTAGAAAAAGCAGTGGGATTAGTGCTGTAAAGCCTAACCAATGCATCTTGTGATCCACCATTGAAAAGCTCTTGATCTGAATGGAGTAGCCCACGTTGACTAACAAGGTTCTGGTAGTAGGTGTTGCCGAACCGGTTAGGGCTTTGTATATCAAGGGGGGCCAAGTTCGAATCCCCACCTGAAGCCGGGCAGACGCCCCTGCGATTGGCTGCAAACATTGGGGCAATGTTCGTGTCATTATATATACGGCTTCTGAACGTAAAACACTGTGAGAAGCCGATGGTGTGGCCACCAGAGAGCGCGGTCATATCACGAGCATTTAGGCCTTTAGCAGCAAAATTGGAGATTAGGGTTGAGAGGCTAGAGAATGGTGATGGAATTTGGCTATTAGCGGCACTCTGGCTCGCTGTTCTTGCGTCTCTTCGGCCCAACGGGACTGCCCATGTAGGTCCTCCCAGCTAATCCAAAGATTAAGGATAAAGATATTTATTTTTCATACATGTCAAGTACAAACCAATACATCATAATAAAAAATCATTCTGTCTTTGTGTGCATTTCTGTAATTAATGAAAGAGAAAGTACGCAAAATTGAAACTTGATATAGTGATACAGTGAGATCGATTTTTTTGTCGCTTGAATTTTAAATTTTACATTCAATCATACCTTGAGAAATATTATGACTGTATATATATATTATATTGTACGTGGTATAGACAAACATGCATGCGTGGATTATAGCTACTAATGAAGTAGAAACTTGATCTGTTTCTCACCAAGACAACTCCATCTCGTGCTGCAAGCGCCAGGATGTCTGCACAAGATACTGTGCCAGTACAAGCGGCTTCAACCCGTGTTTTAATGGTGTCAATCACATCAAAACCTCTTGCTGAATTTTGGTTTGGGCCTGCATTTTTCTCGCCCGTGAAAGTTGCGGTATCGTCCAGAAGTATCGATGCATCACAACCCTGCCGCTCTCAAAAGAAAATGATTAACAATATTACTTATGATAGAAGAAGCAATGGAGCTACAATTTATTTAAGAACTTTTTGCATTCTGCTGACTGACCCGGTTCCAAATCTCTATAGATATGTGGCTTTAATGCAATCGTTAGATTAATTATAAATTTTAATGTTAGATGGAGTCAACAATCAATTTAATAGTTGTACATCATTAGATTTTTAAATAAAATTCACAAATTAAATCCAAATAGCATTTTCCTGTATAATACTCTAAATCATATAGCTAGAGACATTACAATTGGTTTTAATGTTGTACAACCTTAATGTAAAGCAAAATATATTGTACTATACAAGTCTTAGAGTACAATAACTTATAATTATATAATTTTTCATAAACTTTTGAACTTCTTTAGCAAAGAAATAGACTCGAATTAAACGTCAAAATGCAAGTACAATCTTACATTTACGAAGCAGTCGTGGAAGAACAAGCGGAGGATAGAGGCTCCAAGGCGCAGCTCTCTGTTAATCGCTTCCCTCATTGCGTTACGCACAATGAGTTGGAGATTAGGGCACGAAGAGGCATAAAAGTTTGGTGAAAGCTGCGCATTGGCAAAACATGCCATAAGTGACACCATGGAGAGGGTAACCAAGAGGTTTCTAAGGGAGGCCATTAAGGAGCGTAGAATCCTAATGAGCTTGCTAAAATTCTAAAAATTTGGATTGTGTGACATTTCTCTTACTGAATTCTCCATTTATAGACAAGTAAACTTGTTTCTCAGTATGGGTGTGCTTGAGAGAGACAGAGAGAGAGAATATGTAGGGTGTGTGCATGGTGTTAACTATTTTCAAACTTCGCTGCTTCAAACGCGTTTGTTTTTGGGTTTACTTGGAGTGGATGGGGTACAGCAGGAGAACCTCCAAAAGTGAAATCTCGTAGGCCAATGAGATTTTAGTTGACTTCATTGCTAAAATCAAACGTGCAAAAGTTTCCAGTAGGATTCATAATGGATGTTTGACTTCTACTCAAGGCAGACATCTACCGAAGGCAACCATGCGACTTTGGTTGCGAGCGCAACAACTTTTTTAATAACTGACGTGGTCCGATGAGCTACCGATCAATTTGAATTTTGAAGTTTATATTAGTGTTCGATAATTTGAATTTTGAAGTTTATATTAGAGTTCGACGATTAACCGTTGTATTAGCCTAATTAAATTAATTTTTGAAAGGAGTAACGGATCCGATCAGGGCCTCATAATCTCCTCAATAAGGACGTATTAAAATAACTACTGAATACTCTCATTTATCCCATATTTTTTTTAATTATAAACAAATAACTTTTTTAATATTCATAAAAAAAAAAAAAAAAACTCATACTATTATCCATAAGCAATTTAAGGATAACCAAAACTTTATTAAACCAAATAGCAATGTTATTTGCACCTAATCATTTATAATCATTTGATTGATAAAGGTCTACATTATTTATTAAGATACATTACCAATTCAATAGTTATCATAAATTATGTTAATAAATTATGTTTAAATAATATTATTATAAGCAAAATCCTCAAAAATAAAAATTGGAGTTAGTCTAATAAACAAGGGTGAGGTTATTCCCTTCCCTTAAATCTCTTTTTTCACCTCATTTAATCATCTTAATTTAAACTATTAAGTTCACCCTATTTATATTCATTCAATTAAACTATTAAATATATGTTAAAGAAATCAAAACAAAAATATTAATTGAAGCAAAATTTTAATGTTCTAAGGTGATCTATATTATTTTGAAGTTTTTTAAGATATTTTGACCAATGTCTTTGAAATATTTTGATGTGTTTTAAGATATTTTGATTAATATTTTAAAAATAATTATTAATTTTTATTTTTCTTTTGAAATATTTTCATACCAAAATAATATATCGAAATGAAATTTTGATCATTATCTATATATAGTAGGTTGAAATAAAATTGAATAAATTTAGACGGAATAAGTTTAATAACTAATTTATTGGGTATAAATGAAGTGAACTTAATAATTTGAAATAAAATGATTAAATAGAGTAAAAAAAAAAATTTAAGGGACGAGAATAACAACACCCAATAAACTAAAACTGTATTTCATCTGCATTTTACGGGAATTGCCGAAAATTGATCATTCTGTCACAACAAAGCTATTTTTTTATAATCATTGGGTCATTTTGTAATCAAATCACATTCTCATCTCGTTCCATTCCAGTTCTATTGATCATTTTGTTGAAGGGAGAAGATCGTTGCGTTCTGAATTACTATGTCTCTCCTATTGCTTTTGCGATTTTCGTTGCATTTTGAGCATGGGATGATCTTCTGCCTCCATGAATATCAACTCATTCTATATCACAATGGCTGAAGATCTAATAATTACATTTCCAAGCATAAGAGACGGCTATTTAAACTATATTTATATGATGGCTATATATACAGTACTATTGCTAANTGACGTGGTCCGATGAGCTACCGATCAATTTGAATTTTGAAGTTTATATTAGTGTTCGATAATTTGAATTTTGAAGTTTATATTAGAGTTCGACGATTAACCGTTGTATTAGCCTAATTAAATTAATTTTTGAAAGGAGTAACGGATCCGATCAGGGCCTCATAATCTCCTCAATAAGGACGTATTAAAATAACTACTGAATACTCTCATTTATCCCATATTTTTTTTAATTATAAACAAATAACTTTTTTAATATTCATAAAAAAAAAAAAAAAAACTCATACTATTATCCATAAGCAATTTAAGGATAACCAAAACTTTATTAAACCAAATAGCAATGTTATTTGCACCTAATCATTTATAATCATTTGATTGATAAAGGTCTACATTATTTATTAAGATACATTACCAATTCAATAGTTATCATAAATTATGTTAATAAATTATGTTTAAATAANACCTAATCATTTATAATCATTTGATTGATAAAGGTCTACATTATTTATTAAGATACATTACCAATTCAATAGTTATCATAAATTATGTTAATAAATTATGTTTAAATAATATTATTATNTAACGTATAATTTGACCTCGAGTAACGTTCGTATAATTTCTTAAAACATCATGAGACTTATAAAATCTTAATTATTTAATCTAGTTTGAGTCAAAACTCCACCGTCACAAAATGTTCTTAATAGTGCATATATTTCCAAGTGATTGTTATTAGGCTAAACTCGACAATTTAATTTTTCAATTGTTTTTATTTTGTTCATTCTATAAATTTTCAAGGGACTTTTCTGAATGAGTTTTGACTGTTCTCTTTCTTACAAATTGAGGTGGCAACTAATGATGATGTTCATAATAGGGTCCTCTAAAGCATTACGTGTATATGAGATTTTGCGAAATTGAGGTTTCTTTTGTGTTATTGTTTAACTTTCTGTTGAAAGGCACCCTTAAATAATTATTGTCGTAACTACCTGTTTTTTAGCAAGAAAATTCAGGTCTGGGAAGAATTGAGTAGCTACTATAGTTTGCAGAACATTTTATGGTATCATAGTTAGTTTAACATACGTTCATGTTGAGAAAAAATGAGGTGGAAAGCGTATGCAATAGAGTAAAAGACACTTGAATTAATCCGTATGTTCTTTTGCCACGGTTGAAAATATGGGAACACTATGTATATTAGATCGGAGAGTGTTCTCATGTATAATTTTCTAAGTGAAGTATTACATTATTTCGGTTGATTTTCTGTTTATTTTGTCTTTGTATAGTACTGCTAAAATCTTGTCAGAGTTGTCTTCTTTTAGTCTCGAGTTTGAATTGAGTTCCATGTGTGTTATGTCTAATGCTCCTTTTCATCCATCTTCTAATTGCGTTTTTGTGCATTCTGGGAGTGAAGAACACTACCGTCTAGGAAGTGACAAAAGAAAGAGGATGCTGCAAATGGAAGAGAAAGGAATGAAGAAGTGGAGGTTTTGAATACGGGTATGGGGAAACAGCTGAAAGGAAGTGATTGTACCATTTTTTATTTCTTGATGCATTGTTTGACTTAGTGTGAAGAATTATTCTCTCATTTTTGCTTTGATGCAACTTGGACTATTGCAATATTTTTGTGTTACAAACTGCATGAGTTGATGTGACTTAAGACTTATTTTTGAACAAAGATGTGACTTAAGACTATTGCAATATTTTTTTGTTAGACGAGGAGGGCTTATGTCCCACACGTGGGGTAGGGGAGAGAGAGACCAATGCAAATGCAAAATTGAGCCAATGGAAAGGACTATTCGGTTCAATTTGCCACTTATTATTACAATTCAGTAATCGAAAACATGAAGAAAGAAACTAGAGCCAACACGATGATCCGAATAAAGCCCCAAATTAAATCAGTTAACCACACTGCATCTTCTTCTTATCTCTCCATTTGTTCCAGTAAGGGGGCTTATATTGCCCATTCTTACCATGGCAGCAGCAAAGTCATTAGAAAAAGCAGTGGGATTAGTGCTGTAAAGCCTAACCAATGCATCTTGTGATCCACCATTGAAAAGCTCTTGATCTGAATGGAGTAGCCCACGTTGACTAACAAGGTTCTGGTAGTAGGTGTTGCCGAACCGGTTAGGGCTTTGTATATCAAGGGGGGCCAAGTTCGAATCCCCACCTGAAGCCGNCCCACGTTGACTAACAAGGTTCTGGTAGTAGGTGTTGCCGAACCGGTTAGGGCTTTGTATATCAAGGGGGGCCAAGTTCGAATCCCCACCTGAAGCCGGGCAGACGCCCCTGCGATTGGCTGCAAACATTGGGGCAATGTTCGTGTCATTATATATACGGCTTCTGAACGTAAAACACTGTGCGAAGCCGATGGTGTGGCCACCAGAGAGCGCGGTCATATCACGAGCATTTAGGCCTTTAGCAGCAAAATTGGAGATTAAGNCATTGGGGCAATGTTCGTGTCATTATATATACGGCTTCTGAACGTAAAACACTGTGAGAAGCCGATGGTGTGGCCACCAGAGAGCGCGGTCATATCACGAGCATTTAGGCCTTTAGCAGCAAAATTGGAGATTAAGGTTGAGAGGCTAGAGAATGGTGATGGAATTTGGCTATTAGCGGCACTCTGGCTCGCTGTTCTTGCGTCTCTTCGGCCCAACGGGACTGCCCATGTAGGTCCTCCCAGCTAATCCAAAGATTAAGGATAAAGATATTTATTTTTCATACATGTCAAGTACAAACCAATACATCATAATAAAAAATCATTCTGTCTTTGTGTGCATTTCTGTAATTAATGAAAGAGAAAGTACGCAAAATTGAAACTTGATATAGTGATACAGTGAGATCGATTTTTTTGTCGCTTGAATTTTAAATTTTACATTCAATCATACCTTGAGAAATATTATGACTGTATATATATATTATATTGTNGGCCACCAGAGAGCGCGGTCATATCACGAGCATTTAGGCCTTTAGCAGCAAAATTGGAGATTAAGGTTGAGAGGCTAGAGAATGGTGATGGAATTTGGCTATTAGCGGCACTCTGGCTCGCTGTTCTTGCGTCTCTTCGGCCCAACGGGACTGCCCATGTAGGTCCTCCCAGCTAATCCAAAGATTAAAGATAAAGATATTTATTTTTCATACATGTCAAGTACAAACCAATACATCATAATAAAAAATCATTCCATCTTTGTGTGCATTTCTGTAATTAATGAAAGAGAAAGTACGCAAAATTGAAACTTTATATAGTGAGATCGATTTTTTTGTCGCTTGAATTTTAAATTTTACATTCAATCATACATTGAGAAAGATTATGACTGTATATATATATATATTATATTATACGTGGTATAGACAAACATGCATGCGTGGATTATAGCTACTAATGAAGTAGAAACTTGATCTGTTTCTCACCAAGACAACTCCATCTCGTGCTGCAAGCGCCAGGATGTCTGCACAAGATACTGTGCCAGTACAAGCGGCTTCAACCCGTGTTTTAATGGTGTCAATCACATCAAAACCTCTTGCTGAATTTTGGTTTGGGCCTGCATTTTTCTCGCCCGTGAAAGTTGCGGTATCGTCCAGAAGTATCGATGCATCACAACCCTGCCGCTCTCAAAAGAAAATGATTAACAATATTACTTATGATAGAAGAAGCAATGGAGCTACAATTTATTTAAGAACTTTTTGCATTCTGCTGACTGACCCGGTTCCAAATCTCTATAGATATGTGGCTTTAATGCAATCGTTAGATTAATTATAAGTTTTAATGTTAGATGGAGTTAACAATCAATTTAATAGTTGTACATCATTAGATTTTTAAATAAGATTCACAAATTAAATCCAAATAGCATTTTCCTGTATAATACTCTAAATCATATAGCTAGAGACATTACAATTGGTTTTAATGTTGTACAACCTTAATGTAAAGCAAAATATATTGTACTATACAAGTCTTAGAGTACAATAACTTATAATTATATAATTTTTCATAAACTTTTGAACTTCTTTAGCAAAGAAATAGACTCGAATTAAACGTCAAAATGCAAGTACAATCTTACATTTACGAAGCAGTCGTGGAAGAACAAGCGGAGGATAGAGGCTCCAAGGCGCAGCTCTCTGTTAATCGCTTCCCTCATTGCGTTACGCACAATGAGTTGGAGATTAGGGCACGAAGAGGCATAAAAGTTTGGTGAAAGCTGCGCATTGGCAAAACATGCCATAAGTGACACCATGGAGAGGGTAACCAAGAGGTTTCTAAGGGAGGCCATTAAGGAGCGTAGAATCCTAATGAGCTTGCTAAAATTCTAAAAATTTGGATTGTGTGACATTTCTCTTACTGAATTCTCCATTTATAGACAAGTAAACTTGTTTCTCAGTATGGGTGTGCTTGAGAGAGACAGAGAGAGAGAATATGTACGGTGTGTGCATGGTGTTAACTATTTTCAAACTTCGCTGCTTCAAACGCGTTTGTTTTTGGGTTTACTTGGAGTGGATGGGGTACAGCAGGAGAACCTCCAAAAGTGAAATCTCGTAGGCCAATGAGATTTTAGTTGACTTCATTGCTAAAATCAAACGTGCAAAAGTTTCCAGTAGGATTCATAATGGATGTTTGACTTCTACTCAAGGCAGACATCTACCGAAGGCAACCATGCGACTTTGGTTGCGAGCGCAACAACTTTTTTAATAACGGAGGTGGTCCGCTGAGCTACCGGCCAATTTGAATTTTGAAGTTTATATTAGAGTTCGATAATTTGAATTTTGAAGTTTATATTAGAGTTCGACGATTAACCGTTATATTAGCTTAACTAAATTAATTTTTGAAAGGAGTAACGGATCCGATCAGGGGCCTCATAATCCCCTCAATAAGGACGTATTAAAATAACTACTGAATACTCTCATTTATCCCATATTTTTTTTAATTATAAAAAAATAATTTTTTTAATATTCATAAAAAAAAAAAAAAAAAACTCATACTATTATCCATAAGCAATTTAAGGATAACCAAAACTTTATTAAACCAAATAGCAATGTTATTTGCGCCTAATCATTTATAATCATTTGATTGATAAAGGTCTACATTATTTATTAAGATACATTACTAATTCAATAGTTATCATAAATTATGTTAATAAATTATGTTTAAATAATATTATTATAAGCAAAATCCTCAAAAATAAAAATTGGAGTTAGTCTAATAAACAAGGGTGAGGTTATTCCCTTCCCTTAAATCTCTTTTTTCACCTCATTTAATCATCTTAATTTAAACTATTAAGTTCACCCTATTTATATTCATTCAATTAAACTATTAAATATATGTTAAAGAAATCAAAACAAAAATATTAATTGAAGCAAAATTTTAATGTTCTAAGGTGATCTATATTATTTTGAAGTTTTTTAAGATATTTTGACCAATGTCTTTGAAATATTTTGATGTGTTTTAAGATATTTTGATTAATATTTTAAAAATAATTATTAATTTTTATTTTTCTTTTGAAATATTTTCATACCAAAATAATATATCGAAATGAAATTTTGATCATTATCTATATAAAGTAGGTTGAAATAAAATTGAATAAATTTAGACGGAATAAGTTTAATAACTAATTTATTGGGTATAAATGAAGTGAACTTAATAATTTGAAATAAAATGATTAAATAGAGTAAAAAAAAAAATTTAAGGGACGAGAATAACAACACCCAATAAACTAAAACTGTATTTCATCTGCATTTTACGGGAATTGCCGAAAATTGATCATTCTGTCACAACAAAGCTATTTTTTTATAATCATTGGGTCATTTTGTAATCAAATCACATTCTCATCTCGTTCCATTCCAGTTCTATTGATCATTTTGTTGAAGGGAGAAGATCGTTGCGTTCTGAATTACTATGTCTCTCCTATTGCTTTTGCGATTTTCGTTGCATTTTGAGCATGGGATGATCTTCTGCCTCCATGAATATCAACTCATTCTATATCACAATGGCTGAAGATCTAATAATTACATTTCCAAGCATAAGAGACGGCTATTTAAACTATATTTATATGATGGCTATATATACAGTACTATTGCTAAAAAGTTGAATTCTCAACTTATAAAAGTACAAAAACAATCAAGATTGATTTAATTTTTATCTACTTTGATAATTGGTGTAAAATTTATCTCAAAATTTTTTTCCCGTTCAAAAGGATCATCTTTTATGCACTTTATACCCCGAATGATATTTCGATTCCCATTTTACACCTTGAAAGATTATTTTTTTCACTTTATACCTTGAATGACATAAATTAATTTTAATGTGGCCTATGAACTAATATTCATTTCAAATTCTATTAAAAATAAGTGTACATGCCACACAAGAATATAAATGGTGATTTTATATTTTTGTCCAATAACAATACACGTGAGTAACATGTACATCAAATTTTAACGAAATTTGAAGTAGATATTAGTCCGAGAGCTACATTGGAATCAATTTATGACATTCAAGGTGCAATATAGAAAAAATAATATTTCAAGACACAAAGAGAGAATCGAGATATCTTTCGAAGTGCAAAGTGCGAAAAAACCCCTAAATATTAGACAATTTAATCAACACATTCCTTAATACTAAATATAAATATTTCACAATCAATGCTTAATTTTTATTATTACTAAGTGTTTTCAGACAAAATATTATTATTAGTACATAAGTACTACTACAGCCAAATGACAGTATATATATATACACACACTAATAAAAATATGTAAGATGATAAACTCTATTTTACCCTTATAAAAGATTATAAAAATTATTCTATCATTTTACAATTAAATATCTAAATTTTAATCCTATTCTTATATCTTTAAATCTCTAAATTATCTATAACGTCTCTTTTAATTATATAATCAATTTCTATAAAACAAAATTGATTGATTATAACATCATTATATTTTCAAAAAAGTATTCAAAGAACTTTCAAAAACTCAATCAGTCTAATTTTACTCATTTCATATACAAAAATAACATTATACCTACAATTTATATTTCTTTTCATCAAAAAGTTTAACCATTTTATTTCTAAAATAAAAAATAATTGTATATATAATTTTTTTAAAATTAATTTTTGTTACATAATATCATTCTTTAATTACAATAAACTCTCTAAGTGGAATTAAGATTTTATGTAAATATAGATATTGTACTGTATTTTTTAATAAAACTTATTTTTTTTATAATTTTAATATGCTTGAGAATATATATTATAGAATATTATATTAAATCTTATCACAATTGACATAACTAATTCTTAATTATATTAAGATTCTAATGTGATTAATATAATGATAATTATTTTTAATTTATTCAACGAAATATAAGTGAAATTTTAATCAAATGAATTTTAAAAAGTTTAATTTTCAAGCATCACTAAAAAATTAAGATCAATCACCAAAATTCTAAAAAAAATAATTTTTTTTATAGTTAGAATAAAGAATTTTAGAAATATATAAAATGTTCAAAATCATTTAATAGAATATGAGTAATAAAAAATTAAATTTAATATAATATTTAATTTTAATATATATATTTAATATATTTTATTAATTTTTATATATAAAATTTATTCACGTGCACCGTTGCTAGTGAATTGCTAGTTCAAATGAAATGTCGGAAAGTAGACATTGAAATTCTAAATGGGCTGAGGTCGGTTGCTGAAAGTTTAAAGGTCTGACCGCTCAGACCGTCACATCACGAGCTGTGATTCAGACCGTCACATCACGAGCTGTGATTCAGACCGTCAAATCACGAGACCGTTGAATATGTGATTCAGTAGTGCTATACATGAGCTGTTAATATTGTTTTTTTGGTATGGAATGATCAAATTAATAACGACTTTTGATTTATTCTAAATAATTTTAAACCGTTGATTAGATATTTTCATTGACCAAATCAGTTAATCACTTAATGTGACGGAAAGACAAAAAAAAATTCAGTGTGCATGTTTTGCGGTACATTACCGCTTTTAAGGAGTAATGATATTATTTTTTAGGGGTACAAAACCACTATTTTAGTATAAATTATGTTTTTTTAGATAATTTTATCATTTTTTGAGGGTAAATTATCACATTTTAGGTGGTAAGTTATCGTAGATTTCTCATTCGATAAAGTGCTAGTATTACCTCAAAAAAGTGCTAATTTTATACCCAAAAAATATTATTCTTACTAAAAAAATGTGTAATATCATTTCTTCGTAGTTAGGATAACACCTTTTCTAAGTTACCATTTTTTTTTTTTAAGGTGAGTTACAACTTTAACAAGATTCCTGCATTATCATGACCAATCTTATTAAGGTTTTTACCAATCACGATTGGTCATTGTTGGTCTTATAAAAATTTTTATTTTAATCTTTTACCAATCAGGATTAGTCAGTCATGACCGATCATATTCTTTTGTTACCGATCTTATTACAGTCACGCTCTTTTTAGTTTACAATATCTTCAAGGACACTCTCTCTATTTTCTAAATTTTTATTGAATGTAATTTTACTAAAGTGTTCAGATATATTTTAGGAAAAATTTAACTCACATCCTCTCTATAATTGAATATAATTTGATGAATTGGTTGTTAATTGGATTAAATTGAATGTTAATTTGATAAATTTAATGTTAACTAGTTAAATTTGAATATTAATTTGATTAATTGAATGTTTATTATATAAATTTAATATTAATTAGATGAAAATAAATATTAATTTGATAAATTGAATCTTTATTGGACAAAATTGCACATTACTCTGGTAATAATTTGATAAATTGAATCTTTATTTGATGATTTTAGAAGTTAATTTGATAAATTGAGTGTTAATTGGATGAATTTAAAAATAAATTGGCTGAAATTCATGTTAATTTGCTATTAATTTTATGAATTGAATATTAATTGGAAGAAATTAAGTGTCAATTTGATGAATTGAATGTTTATTAGACGAAATTGAATGTTAATTTGATCAATTGAATATTAATTTGATATGTTAAATTTTAATTAGATAAAATTGCATGTTACTTTGATATTAATTTGATAAATTAAATATTTATTAAATTTTTTTAAAATAATTTCATTTAGGATAAATTTTATTAATAACAAAATTATAAAAAAAGTAGAAAAGGACATAAATCTTTGCTGCTTACGTAATAAAAGAACTTTAAATGCGAAATAATGATGGGTTCATCCACATATTCTTGATGCCCATGTCTTGTCTCCATATGTTGGGTACCATGGAACTCATTGGGAAGA